TGGAGCAGGGGACCGCCCCACGGGCCCGACCCCACCTGGCAGGAGGGGATTTATGGAGGCCACATGCACTGCTGGGCAGAAGCAAGTTTAGAACTGGGACCACTTGGGAGGGTTTGGAGGGCAAGACCAGAGGCTGAGCCAGGAGGCGCGGCACTGTTCCAGGCCCTCTGCAAGTGGGAACTCTTAATCCTACCCAGAAGGGAGGCCCTGCCCACTGCACCGACGAGGGAAGTGAGTGAGGCGAGAGGTTCAGGGGCTTGTCTGGGGTTGCACAGTGGCTGAGCCAGGACTTAGACCAGCTAATCTATGCAGCGAGGGACACTCAGGTGAGTCCTGTTGTCCCAGGGCCCTTGGGCAGAGGTTGCTGGGTCACCAGGGTGGAAGGAAGAGCTCTCTTGAGAGTGAAAAAGGGCCAGGGCACTTACCCCGCCTCCTCCTCAGAGCTGGGCTGCTACCGATCACCAGTAATCAGTTTGCAGGAGCTACTTGTTTCCTGCTATCTGCCTGGTTGGAGATGATGTATGGGGAGGAGGTGGCGCCGCTCCTGCCGCCCCAGCCACGCAGCCTGGCCGCTGCAGGCAGCAACCGTCCTATCTCCTGTGCTCACTGAGGGGACGCAGGAGCTAAAAGGAGGCAAACTCTCAGTGACATGCCCACGAGCCCACCTGGAGCCCAGGATCAGAGCTGGACATGCCATGAGGGCTGCAGGGATGGACCGGACCCATTCAGAGCCTGGCCTAGGAGTCCCACGGAGCCGGGTTCCAACCCTGTGGGACCTAAGACAATTCACCAACCTCGCTGAGCTCAGCTGCAGGTGGGACAGTTGAGCGATCTCCTGAGAGCTCAGTGTGCTTTTTACATATGAACTCACTTAATTCCCATGAGACAAGATCCATTTATGAATCCTCCATTCGGTAAACTGCCTGAACAGCTACTATGCACCAGACTCCACTCAGGGGGCTCAGGCCGCAGCCCCGACCCAGCCCCAGTTCAGACCTGCTCCTGGCAGGGAGAAGCAAACAGCCTCGGTGCACCAGCCACCCACACTCCAGAAAAGGCCACATTTCACCCGGGCATCTTCCCTCCCTCCCACCGCCTGGCCTCACACCCCACCCCATAGCCTGGGCCTGCACTGCCACCTGGTGGGCACATTGGAAAGGGCTCCAAACCGAGCGCCCTTCCCTCCTCCCACTAAGGCAAATTGGGTCCACTCCATCCTCAGGTTTGGGGAGGTCACCACTTGGGGATGGGAATAGACCTCCTGAGTCCCTCTGGAGGGAGTAGAGATGAGTGTGGCCTCTCTGGGGGAGACTTTCGGCAGCACCATTGGCCAGGGGGGTTCTTAAAGGGCAGCGTCTGACAGACCCCGCCCCCCACAGGCACCAGTGTGGCTGACAAGGGGGTGCTCAGTAGACAGGCAGTATATGTGGGGCAGGTAGGGCTGGCCCAGTGCAATGCAGGAGGCTCTCCATGTCTGCAGGACCACCTGGGCGTCTAGGGACATGCCCAGCCTCTTGCCAGGCTAAAGGGACCCAGAGACCTGGAAGGTCGGGGCTTAGAGCGCCTTGGGTCCCCCTGGTGGGTGCAGGCAGTGTGGCTGTCTTAAGAGACTCCATGCCAAGGCCTGCCTGTGCCACATGAGCCCTAGGCCCGGGCTGTACCATGCACACCTGGACCCCTTCCCTGCCTGCTTCATATACCATTGGCCCTCTGTATCTGTGGGTTCCATATCCACGGATTCAACCAACCCTGGATCGAAAATATTTGAAAGAAGTTACATTGTTGCAATAAAGTTACCTTGCTGCTGATGTGTGCTGTGCAGTTAAGCCTGACGCTTGCTTCTGTACTGAACATGTACAGATTATTTTTCTTGTCATTCCCAAAACAGTACAGTGTAACAACTATGTACACAGCATTTACATTGTATTAGGTATTATAAGTAACCTAGAGATGACTTAAAGTATCCAGAGGACTGTGCCTATGTTATATTTACAAATACTGCCTCATTTTCTACAAGCAACTTGAGCACCTGTGGACTTTAGTACCAGCAGATAGTCCTCAAACCAGTCTCCCGTGGGTACCGAGGGACAACTGTAGGTGTAGACAGAAAGATATAGACCCATGGTGTGTGTGTGTGTGTGTGTGCACGCATAACACAAGCACACACACTTGTCCTTTTTTCCCGTTTGACATCTGCCTCCTTCCATCTCGAATGGAGACGCAGAGACTGGACAGGTTCACTGACAGCACTGGGCCTGCAGTGGGGCTCAGTGATGTTTCTGGAAGCAATTCTTGTCAAGGTCAGACTGCTCTACTGGCCTCGGGGCTCCCCCGGCAGGAACTTTCCTTTACATTCTGAAGGCATCCCTGGCGTCTGCCTGCAGCCAGGCAACGCAAGGATTGTATTCACTTCGGCTCGAAGGTGACACTTCACTTTATGAAACCAGATGGCCCCTCTGAAGGCACCGCCCGTGTCCGCCCTGGTACCACCTCTGCGCCCGCCTCAGCTTTGGCCCGGGAACCCTGCTTGCTGCTCATGAGGGGTTCGAGGCTGGGGTGTGGGCCTGTGTCTCACAAGGAGCATTTCCCAGGGGCCCTTTAATAGTCGGTTTCAGGAGCAATAATGGGGGCAGGTGGCTCTGTCTCACTCGGCCTGCCTGGCCCAGGGCAGTGGGGAGAGTCAGATCAGCCCCCAGGCCCAAGGTCACAAGAAGGACGTGCCAACCAGAACCATTCATTCCTTTCATATTTATTGATCCCATGCTCTGTGGGAGACCTGGGAACTTGTGGGGAATTTGATTTTCCTCCAGGACTGGGGAAGAGCTAGAAAATAGAAAGTGGGTGGAAAGAGGAGGTGACTGTGAGGGGACACGGGATGAAGAAGTGGCCCCCATCACCCACAGAAAGCTGTCCTGTGCCCATCACCTAGCCGAGCTCCTCCCCTCACCCCCCAGCCGGGAAAGGGGCATGGGGCAGGCAGGGGGAGAGAATGCGGAGGGTTCCTCCTGGAGCCCCCATCCCCAGCCCTGGTCCCAGTCTAATTTTGCAGGCCCCATTTTTAGGGTCCCCAGAGACTGGGTTTTCTGCAGCTCCCACATTCTTGGACTGAGGCACTGCCCGATAGGATGGGTGTGGCCAGCCCACCCAGCCCTTCTCCTCTGGCCCCAGGCCCCAGAGGAATCCTTCTGCCCATCTGCCAAGGGGAGAACTTTTTCTCAGACCAAGGCTGTCACTGACAGGCCCCACAGTCTGACCCCAGTGTGGGTGCCCTTGGGGCCCTCACCCTTACCCAAGGCCCTATCCTGTAGCCCCACCTCCGACCCAGGCCTCCACCATGGAACTGGGGGTGGGGGTGCTTAGTCCCTCCTCATTTCACTTATGGTAGCCTGAGGCTCAGCTCTCTAGGGGAGGGTCTGGGTCACTTAGACTCCTGATTTGTGGCGTTTTAATGCTGAAATTGGGACAGTCCTGAGAAAACCAGGATGGTTGGTCACCTTGGTATCATTTTCCCTCAAACCCTTCTGGGCCCTGCAGGTGGTCCCACCCCAACCCCTCTCCAGTGCCCTTGTGCTCTGGGAAAGATCACCTTATTTTGTTCCCTTTCCCATGTGTCCCGAGATGCCACACCTCCCCCTGGCCCTTGGGGCTCAAGCACCCTCCCTCCTCCGGTATCATAATCTTCCGTTCACGTGGCGTCTCCACCCAAGGGGCGGCAGGCATTGTGACCCCACTCCACTGCTGGTGCCCGAGGCCCCAGAGCAGCCTTGAGCTCAGGGCCAGAGGCATTTCATCAGATGGATCAAGGAAAACTGACTCGGCTGCCACCGCATAGCTGGGACCCAAGCGACGCCCCCCAGGCCCCCCGCAGCCCCTTCCTGAAGTCTCACACCCGAGGGTCACAGGCTCACACTCTCTGTGTAAACATCTAATAACATCTTTAATGCTCTCACGTGAAGATGCTGTGAATTAAATGACAGCTTCTGTGCAGCCTGAATTATCCTCAGCCCTCCTGTTACTTCCAGTGATAACGTATTTATAGCATCTAGAGGAGGGAAAACATCCGGAATCTTCCCCGTCTGGGTCACCTAGTTCCTCACATCCTGACGTGTGGAATTTGCCCAACAGGAGATTTGTATGTGTCGCCCTGGTGTCCCCTCGAACCAGAGGAGGACAGTGACAGTGGTGAGGCTGGGCACGGGGCATGCTTGTGATGCTCGGGTGCCCTGCATGCCCAACATAGAAAAAGCGCCCAGCTCCTGGCGTCTGGCGTGGCTCGATGCCTTGTCCAGGTGCCCTAGACTGGTAGAATTCCTGAGGGGTACGGGGTGGGTGGGGTATGGCAGAAAAACAGACTAGGTTTCTTAGGTCTGCTTTCCAAGAGGCCATCACCACCCCATCTCAGGTAGTCAGGACACCCCCCACTAGCCCGTAGCCTGTGACCACAGCCCTCAGAGCAATAGCCACCCCCTAGCCCCAGGTCCCCAACATACAGCAGGACAGGGAACCATCTGCAGCAGGTGCCCTGGCCTTTAGAGCCCAATGAAGAGATGGGGGGCAGCTGCACCCCCACCTTTTTCTTCCCTCTTCCTTCAGCCCCTGAACATGGAAGGCAAAGGTGGCTCATCCCAGGCTCCTCCACACACCTGG